CGTCATTCCAATATACGACCACAAAAAATTTTTTGCGGTCGTATAAAAACTGCAAAATTTCCTTAAAATTACCAATTCAGGGGCAGCAACCCAACAACAAGTTGTCAGATTTGTCTGAAAACTTCAGGGCAGATAGATCTTGACCTGATTATCAGTTTTACCCTATGTCAGATTTACTCTAAATGCTTTGGTTTCAGAGATATAAGCCAAAATCTACATTTTACCCATATGTTCTATTTTGAACCATGGCGGCCATCTTGGTTGGTTGGCGGGGTCATCGGACACATTTTTTAAACTAGATACCCTAATGATGATTGTGGCCAAGTTTGGTTAAATTTGGCCCAGTGGTTTCAGAGGAGAAGATTTTTGTAAAAAGATAACGACGACGGACGACGACGACGCCGACGACGGACGACGGACGCCAAGTGATGAGAAAAGCTCACTTGGCCCTTCCGGGCAGGTGAGCTAAAAAAGCAAACTTCTACTTACATTAAACTGTTTAGTACTAATGCAGCAGCAGTTAAAAGTAGGCATCTTGTTTTTGTACTGTTATGAATCACAGTTTATGACCAAACTCAGTAAAGACCCGTCTTAATTGCATTTAATTGATAAATTCAACAACACTTACCGTTATCGTGGCCGGGTACTTGTACATCCCAACAACAAAAAGACACTTAGCACAGATCTGAGAGTACTCGCAGTTACTGACGGCTAGTTCAAAGTCATTAACAAAACTAGTAAAAAAAATCCTGCATCTAAGACTAATTTATCAATCAGTACACATCCAACATCCAATGGATTTAGTGTAAAGACGTCATAAACAGTCAGAGAAAAACATGACCTTGTGCAATGCTATCCTGGTTCCCGGTACTACGTTCCAGGTATTAGCTAATAGCCTTACGCTGTCACGAGGTGACATATATATTGGTATATGTATAACATACTGAATATTGCGATCGGGAACCAGTCTAGTGCAATGCCAAGATACAGGTATCGACAGATTGTAGAGCCATGAATGTGCATATGTATATAACAATAATATTTAGTTTGCTTTTAACTTACTGATAACAAAATCAATATTAATACCAATAAAAACAATATTCAAAGATCTAATTACAGTGTTGAATTGGTAACCTTTTCGAATAAGTTTATTTAAAGGATCGATAAGTTTACCGGGATCGTTTCTAAATTTCCGGGCACGGAAAACAACATCTCCGTATAAATGAGGATGTGCTATTCCGTTTGAAATAAGTTTTCTACAGGTACAACCAAACTTCAAAACCAAATCTTTATATCTAGGGAAGAATTTAGTAAAGGTTTTAAGTAATTTATGGTAACGAAATCCCTGACTTAATAATTTACCAGTAATACATAGATTACGTTCATTCAAATCCAAAACGTCACAACAGACACGGGCATAGCGAACGAGTTGTGATATATAAACACCGTAAGATGGTGCCAAAGGAACATCACCATCCAAAGTCCATATTACACTTCATGGAAAACTAAAGACTAATTAGCAACAAAAAAAGTAAAAGGTAGAATTCATTTAGGAATATATTTCAACTATATACAAGTACAGTTTAAAAATATGAAATAAAAATATACGGTTATGCTAAAATGCACTCTCAAGTCAATACAAGGATATCCCATGAAAGTATGCCCGCTTATTTCCAATGGTGTCCTTAACGTGTATAGGCTTAGAATAAATAAACTGTTGACACAGAGATATATCTCGCCTGTCGCATAAAATTCAGAAAAAGACAATATGATGGACATAGCTAATTAATTCAAAGTCGCTGGACCATGAACTAGTGGACAGCACCTCGAAATGGTCCACAAACTGAGATGTACAGACAGTAATGTAACTTTATAGAAAATATAGTTGTCTATTGTAAGTTGTTCCTATCAAACTAACTTAAGCAGAAAACTTAACATTAAAAATTGATTATTAATTCAAAGTCACTGGACCATGACCTACGGGGGCAGGGAGTCGAAATCATAAGTCGTCAAACTGATATGTACTGATAGTTATGCAACTTTATATTAAATATCAATGATCTATCACAAGTAGTTCCTATAAAACTAACTTAAGCAGAAAACTTAACATTGAAAATTGCTAATTAATTCAAAGTTGCTGAACCCATGACCTAGGGGGCAGGGCCTCGAAATAGTCGTCAAACTGATATGTTCTGATAGTAATGCAACTTTATATTAAATATCAATGATCTATCACAAGTATAGTTCCTATCTTACTAACTCAAGCAGAAAACTTAACAATTGTTGACGCCAACTACTACGTCGTCGCCGGAAAAGCGTTTTCCGCGACTTTCGTCGTAAACAAGACAACAATTAAGAGGTGTAACTTTAGTCACAAATAAAGGTACAAAGTGACTTGTTTTTCAGATGTTGCTTTACTGCAGCTATATATGATTATTTGGAAGTACATTCCAATCGTTTATAGTATTTAAGAAAGAAATTTTGAGTCCACTCTATTAACTTTAGGAACAACTTGTGACAAAATTGGATTGGCGTGATCTAGCATTTTATCCGTGTTGTTCTTTGACTTCTTTTAAATATGCGAGACACTTGTTGTTAAGGTCATATGACCCTGCCAGATTGACATGAACACCTTACAATCATTCCATACATCAAATATAACTCACCTACTATTTACAGTATTTGAAAAACCGACAAAACCATGAAAACTTAACATTGCCAATAAACCATGAAAACGGGGTCAAAATTATCAACCCTGCCACAGACATGTTTTCCTTACAATCATTCCATACACCAAACGCAGTGCCCCTGTTGATTATAGTATATGAGAAACAGACCAAACCTAAAATAATAAACATTGTCCAATGAATCATGAAAATGAGGTCAAGGTCAGATAAAAACTGCCAGTCGGACATGTACACTTAAAAATCATTCCATATACCAAATACAGTTGAACTATTGTTTATAGTATCTGAGATACGGACTCCACCACGAAAACTTAACCTTGATCACTGATCCATGAAATGAGGTCGAGGTTAGGTGAACCCTGTAAGACAGACATGTAGACCTTGCCGTTGAACGATCGGTCCCATCTGAGACTATGTGTTATAGTAGTCTCAGGTCCCATATACCAAATATAGTTATCCTATTACTCATAAAAAGCTGGGACAAATACATTTATCTATTAGTCCCAGTAATAAGCGAGTACTTCACATGACAGAAAAATGATAGATTTTTTTCAAGCAGTCACTGAACCATGACAATGAGGTCAAGGATAATGGACATATGACAGACGGAAACTCATAATGAATCTATATCTCAACAATTATCAATTATAATGAATCCATAAAAAATTTGAAAACTTGTGTCATATTTGTATTTTCAGCCATGATAAGTCAAAGTCCAGTTACTTATTTTGATCACACACATACTCTTCAAATCCACATACCATTTGTAATGAACTAACGGCATCGTCACATATTTTGGACATAGGTACTTGTGGACAGGACAATTTTTTTAGCCCCCCCTTTTTTCTAAAATCAATTTTTTTTTAATTTTAATTACTTTTGCGTTGTCTATGACATATTAATATCGATATACTAGAAATAACATGTACTTACTATTTACTATCAATTCCTAGTTTACTATCCACAGCTTTCACTGATATCAATGGCTATGCATAAACAACCTCCAAGTGAGACAAAAAGACGGATATAAGGGGAGAAGTCAGGACATAATTTGGACAAAAGGAGCTATCAAGAAATCCTTAAAACTAAACAAAAGTATGTATAACAGTTTTTTTTAATCAAATTCCTCATGGAATAAGGATTAGTTACAGTATAGTCTTACTTTTCAAATCCTTGGTTGAAAATTGGACTGTATAATACATGTATATACAATATATGTACATTGCTGGAATATAAAATTTATTTGTTGGAGCTTTAGAAATAGGAATAAAAGCAATTACACAATAATGACACATATATTGTATAAATATATATACACACAGTAAGACCAACTTCCAACCTTCAGATATTTTTACATATGTTCTCATTATTGAATTGATGGTGTGACACCTACAATTACAAGGAATAAGAAAGTCTGTGTTTGAAATTTACAGAATACATAGCAGTCATACATAATTGGTTATGTATGATTGCTATGTATTCGTTGTGTTGAAGACCCATTGGTGGCCTTCGGCTGTTTTCTGCTCTTTGGTCGGGTTGTTCTCTTGGACACATTCCCCATTTCAATTCTCAATTTTATGTCTCTCTCTCTGCATTTTAGTACCTAGCATGGAATATTTTTGACATCATAAATTTTTTTGGATACTCTTAATCTCTTTGTTGTCTCAGTGGAAATCACACCATGTCTTCTTGTTTTTATAATGATGGGAGAATTTGACATTCAAATGACCAACAAAACAAAACTCATCTGCAGATAAACTAAAAGAAAGTTTTTACCAGGAAGAGAAGGTATTTTACAGCCTACTGTAACATATGGGTTTTGCTCATTGTTGAAGGCCCATAGTTGCTCCATTTAGTCTCTGGTGGATAGTTGTGTAAACAAATTTACCACATCTTCATATTTTTAAATGCTAATGCAAGAACAATCTGTACAATCTAAGCCAAGGTTTTCATGTAAATTCAGCAAAAATAAATGCCAGTTGTTTATTTCTTGTGTATGTCAGGTATGTGAAATTTTTTCCCCCATACATTTATATATGTAGTAAAATATGTATCATACTCATGGTTGATAGTAAAGAAAGTGCCAAAATTCGGAAATCAGAGAAAATCAACATTTTTTTAAAGAAATATATAGGGACAAAAGTAGTCAAAATCCAGAAGTCTGACAAATTCCTTCAAATTTACATGCTTGCAATACAGAACCTTGTTTTGTACAGGATTTGTATCCTGCTGGTCCAATTCATTAAATGCTGAATAAAATGATCATTGTACCTACCAGACTATTTAAAGAACCAAACATTAAAACGCATAAGATTCATTCATAGTTGTTATTTTATTTTTTAAACATCATAAACAGCACAAAAAGGCTTTTGAGTAAATATATATCAAACTGAAAGTCAGTTAAAAGTGAAAGACAAAATGGAAGCAACAACACCAAAGGAACTGTAGTCATGCAGCTGAAAACACATTGGATAGACAATGCTGAGGACACATCCTGATGAGGACTAGATGCATAAAAGTCAAGTTATTCACTGTTTTTTTCATTTTGTTGAAATGCTTCAATTTTAAATGATGTATGTGTATATGTTATTGCAGAAGCCCAGATAGTTTTCCTGACTGTTCCAATGCTTGGGTTTCATCTCCACCACCAATGCATTTACCATTAATAAAAACTCTAGGAACCTGGAAAGATAAAAATTATTACAAGTTCAATGCTTGAGGAATTTCACAAATCATTGGCCTATTAAAATGAGCAGAACTAGTAGCCTTACTGCCATTGAGTTTTTGACAATCCTTGTTTAAATAGATTAATTCATAAAATTGGCAGCATTTCTTGTGCAGATAAATAAAACAAAATCATATTAATTTCAAAAATTCAACTTCAAGAAGCTGAATTAACACTTTTGTTATTTATCTTGAGTGTCAACCTGTCTAATCGCTGCAGTTCTAAGAGACAATGCTTTTTCCTTGCCATGCTTGTCTCATTGTAGCTGCGAAACCGAAGATATATCATTATTTTTTTCGTTTTTTTAATATTTTTACCACTAAAATTCAAACAACTGTGATGTATACCACACACCAAGCCCCCTTTAATTCATCTATTTTATATATATGCTCACTAATTAGTATACTCTCCGAGACTAAGACTCCAATAAGTGCATTGGGTATAAGGTTGTTGTAATTATGAACAATGTGGCCAAAGACCACAATTAATGATCCCGCTTTTCGTTGTCCACGAATATAGTTCCTTTTAATTAGAGTGTATTTTTTCTTAATTCTTTTCTTTCCCTTCCTCACTCATTTCTTAGATTTTTTTGGATGGAAATGAAAGAAGAGAGGTGAAATAAACTTTTGGATGTTGTATTTTAACTGATTTTGATATGGAAAGAGTGATTAGGCCAGGTGCAAAAAGGTGATATTTACAGTTTTCAGAACATCTCTTGACTTGTCCATAGGGGTATGGATGTGTATTGGCTAAATTTGTAAGATGCTGGGGAGCGATATTTCTGAATGTTTGATATATGTTTGGACTAGTACTGTACTTTACACACACAAAATATTTGACAAAAAGAACCGGTGCATTTTTTTTAATGAAACAAAACGTTATAAAGAACTAATAGAGAATTTAATTGTGGTCTGTGGCCTAAGAGGTGAAATTCAGGAAATATTGAATTTGTACTTTGACAACTTCCCTGAATGATCTATTGGTATTAATTTGTCAAACTACATGAGAATAAATGATTTCCACTTTTATTTGATAGAAATTTTGTAAAAAAGTGACATTTCAGCCTACATGCCCAAAATTGAACTTTTTCAGTTGTTTCAATATTTTTACAAAAGTAGCATGCTTACTTTCTCTCTGACAGGTTTTTCTGATTTTCTACTTGTGTTTGTGGTAACTAATGTAGATGTTTAACTCATTTTTGAACACTAAACATACAAAAAAAGTAGATAAAATCAGAATAAGAGTGCAAAATGTGCTGCTTTAATGGTCCTAGTCTAACGGTCAGTATGAAGCAAGTGAAAAATGAGGGTCTATGCACATACAAGTTGAATTCCTTTTAGCAGATTTCACTGAATCTGTATCAAAAGAACTTATTACTGGTTGTTTGACCTTGTCTGTTTCACAGACTACCTTTATTTTCTTTTGTTTGATAGCTAGTGGTTAAAATATTGGCCTTTTGAGGCTGAAATTTCATGCCGGTTTTAAAAAGTAAAGTAAATAACTTTGCATCAGATCATACTGTCTACATATATAGTTGAAAGTGACAGTCTTGTTACATCCAGGCTCCATGTTTTATCATATCTGAGCAAAGATTTGAGCAAAAAGAAGCATATCTCCATCTCCCATATCATTTATATGCTTTTCAATATGCAAATGTGGGGAACGACCTAAATTGACAACCTGTTTTTTTAAGCTTGACATTGCTGAAGACCATTTTATTCACATGTGTTATGCTATTTGAAACTTATATTTCCATTAAAAGTTCATTTATAACATGTAAAAGGTTTTTTTATAACTTAGCAACTTCAGAAAATTGTGGTAAGTGAAAAATATTACATTTCATATAAGGCCTCACTTCATTTGAAAACCTCTATTTTTTGGCACAGGCCCATATGAAATTTACTTCTGGCCATTTTTTATAAGTCTAAAACATGAAGTATGCTATCTGTTGCTTTTAATAGGTGATAACTTATACATAGAGATATTAAAAAGTGTAACTTTTGGTATATTTTGGTTTTTAGAAGCCCAAATTTGATAGTTGAAATTATTCTAATTCAACGCCACAATTCAGCACCCAAAGTTCAGATATAAAAAATGCCACAATTTTTATAATTGGTATCATATGGCTTTGAAACTTTGTAAACTGTTTCATAATACACTAAGCTTAAATCATGCCAAGTTTTATTAGAATTGGTCAAGGTTTAGACCCCTAATAGGCCAAAGACCACAATTAATGATCCCGCTTTTCGTTGTCCACGAATATAGTTCCTTTTAATTAGAGTGTATTTTTTCTTATTTTTTTTCTTTCCCTTCCTCACTCATTTCTTAGATTTTTTTGGATGGAAATGAAAGAAGAGAGGTGAAATAAACTTTTGGATGTTGTATTTTAACTGATTTTGATATGGAAAGAGTGATTAGGCCAGGTGCAAAAAGGTGATATTTACAGTTTTCGGAACATCTCTTGACTTGTCCATAGGGGTATGGATGTGTATTGGCTAAATTTGTAAGATGCTGGGGAGCGATATTTCTGAATGTTTGATATATGTTTGGACTAGTACTGTACTTTACACACACAAAATATTTGACAAAAAAAAACAGTGCATTTTTTTATGAAACAAAACGTTATAAAGAACTAATAGAGAATTTAATTGTGGTCTGTGGCCATGTGTGGTAACCTAAAATGAACACTTTACTGCAATAAAAGTTCAACAAAGTTGCGGACTCGTCTTTGTTTATCTATATTTTATAATTTTCGACCAAACCCTTACCTAGGAGTGATCATAGTTTTTGGACTAATGATAATTTTGGCTCGATTATTATTATATGTATTAAATAAACCGCTACAATAAAAAGTTCACTATAAAGGACTTCCGTTGTATGGATTTTCCTGGTTATGTAATGGAATGTAGATTATGAACATGATGACTGTCTAAAATAAAATAGTTTTACTTACAGATCGCCCTCCTGTTAATGTCTTTAAATAGTCTTGAATTGCGTCACAATCTGGATTATTTTCTATTTCAATAATCTCGACATCAGCTTCGTTTAAATCCTTTCCATAATGATTTCTCAAAACCTTTTTTGCCTTGGTACAGTAAGGACAGTAGGTTTTCGAAAAGACAACCACTTTTTTTCCACCAATCTTGGCATCAATCATGGTCTTTACCTGAGACATTTCTAGTTCAGGAAATATGACTTTAAAATATATAAGTATGCTAGTTCCTGGAAAAATATTATGGGTATGGTTTTCACGTGTTACCAAGCGAAGCATTAAATCGATATTCTGTATCAGCCTGACGCTTTAATAGGGGAGCAGTCGGGGGGATTTTCAAAATGTTGAACTAAATACTTCGTCACACAGAGGGGGGATTGTGAAAATGAATAGCCTGGCCTGGTTAGAGCTGAAATTAAATAACCTTGCATAGGACAGTCTGTATAAAAGTTTAAAAAAAAATATATGTATCCGCGGGAAAAAAATGAAGTCAATCCGCAAAAAAATCATCCGTGTCCCCCCTCAAATCCGAATACTAGTACCAAATGGTCGCCCCTCTACATTCATCATACAATACAGAAGTGATTCTGAATAACGGGGGACTGGCATATTTTGAATTTAAAAATTCTGGCACCCATTAACACATGCTTAAATTATAAATAATAATCATGGCTTGCCTTATCCAAGGATTTGCATGTATAGTAAGAAGTCTTACTATACAAATCCTTGCCTTATCACACATGAAAATAATAAATATTCTGGCCCCAAAATATTCAAAGTGTATTCATATTTTTGCTGCTCGCTCCACTCGAAACGTAAACTTGTTTTTTGAAAATTGCTACCACACATCCTTTCATTTTATAGCTTGTTTCTTTCATGATCTTTCATGAAACAATATTTGTTCAAATTATACTCTATAGAAAGCTGCGATAAGCCATGTAAGTGACAACATCTTCTCTGACTATTTTGCTTGACATGATTAATATTTTACAGTGTCATATGAACTGTGTTTAAATTTTGGATATAGCTGCAACATTAGCTCCGATGGCAAATATCATAAACATAGATGGAATTTTGACACACATTTTATTTTGGGACTAGCTGTGACACCAAACTCAACAAAATAAATAAAACAAATTAGTATTTTAATAAAAACAACAACACCTGAAACAAATATAATTAACAAATCTTAATTTGAAAAAAAAGTTGGCACATGACTTCATTTGCTTTAGGAGACCCGGGCCAATACACATATGTTATACTAAACTTACCCTCATTCTTAACCTTATCCTAACCGTGACGGCAGAAACACTAACCCATACCTAGCTATAGCCAATACCTAACCATAATCATGAATCATAACCCTAACACTAGCCATAACCTTGAATCGTAACCTTAGCATGCAATAAACAGTTATGGTGGCTTGAGGGAGTACCATAGCGCAGGGTGTGGCTTAAAGAGGTTTGTAAATCCAGGAACTCCTCCTCCATGATATAGAAGGGACTTGGGGTTTCTATAGACAATCACATTGCGGACTAATAAACATTTTTTATTTGTGTTTGAACTTTCATTAGAATTATACTCCATTTTTACAGCTCTTTTTATTTTAAGATGTATGTGTACCCTGGAACTATTATAATGTTAGTATAGTAGTCCCAGGTGTACCCTTCCAAAAAGGTTGTCTGTATCATAAAAGTTGAATTACTTTAGGAAATACCATGCATTTGACCTTTAGAGGAGAGAAGGCTGGGATATTTTTTAAAACTTTTTGGATGAACAGAAAATACATATTCTGTCTCTGATCTGAGTGAAAATAAATAATCCTCCTTTAAGTTATAAATAAATATTCTGGTCTTCTCTTATTTGCCAGGCTCCACTCAGAATCAAACGGTAGTATCCTAAATGGACTCACAAGGAGCATAGTACAAGATAAGACATTATTTTAGACAAAAACAATAAAGTACAAAGAACAAACAGTTTGAACATACACTATATTAATATTTATATATAAATGTTTTTAGCGTATATAATAATACACACATCTCAGACATATACCAAAAAACAAATTGCTGATAATAATTTGGGAATTTATTGGCATATATTACTTAAATGCAGAAGGCAATATTATACATATCAATGTGGGCGACAGAGGCAGATGCTTTTTGTTTGACGCTATTATAATCAAAGTACTGAAAAACTAAACATCGGACGACCGCAAGTTCTGGTTGATGGTCTCAGAAAAAAATCGTATCTCTATACCTGAACGTTAGGTTAAGGCACATAGATATATTTTTTTTCTGAGACAAGTTCCTGTGTGGATGATGAATAAATGACAGGGAATTTAACCTCACCGTAATAATTATTATATTGTAGAGATATAATCATTTGTTATCAGTATAATCTGGTTTGTTGTTATATATTATATTAATATCTGTATAACAGTTGTATATATATAGCAGATCATCTCTCGAGATATTCTTCCGCATGCGTTAACACAAATTTTCGGTATTCATGATTTGTTACTGATATATATATTTCTCACGACAAAACATTTTCATATCATTTATCTATGTTCTTAACAAATATTTTCATGAGTATTCATTGAAGAAATGAATTTATAACAAGCGATAAGGAATGTTATTTTGCACTCGATAATATCCGCGTATTTATACGAAATACGTTCTGTTATCAGTCAAAAGCGCAAGGAAATTTCTGCGGCAACATAACACCGGTATGACATCTCAAGGTCACATCCGATGTAAAAAAAATGTGGTATGATTGCCAATGATACAACTCTCCACAAGAGACCAAATGACACAGAAATTAACAATTATAGGTCACCGTACGGCCTACAACAATGAGCAAAGCCCATATATGCCGCATAGTCAGCTATAATAGGCCTCGAAATGACAAATGTAAAACATTTCATACGAGAAAACTAACGGCCTAATTTATGTACAAAATAATGAACGAAAAACAAATATGTAACACAGCAACAAACGACAACCACTGAATTACAGGCCCCTGACTTGGGACAGGCACATACAGAATGTAATCTGTTTGAATATTATATGAAGGCTGAGATCGGTGTACATAACATGCATGGCATCCTCGTTCCCGATGCAGATGGGTCTTTACATCTCCTTAGCAATGGTTAGCTGACACGGTTGCAAAAGGCACCAAGGGATAATGCTAAATGACATGACCAAGTGCACATATAACACTAAATAGAAAGAAAAAAAAACATCCATGGGAATAATCCATATCCGCCTATTTAACTTTAAACAAAAGGGAATAAGAAGATACATGAAATAATAATATATTTTTATTCCAATTAAAGGGCCCATGATGAGCAAAGTAATTTATTACAATGATTTTTTGTAATTGAGAGACACAACTAATTTTTACAATCATTATATAAATATGAATATAATCAACTTAATTTTATGATCTTCACTCTTAAATATGATTATTTATGTATATATAGGTACCATCGTGACAGCTAGACTAGTGCAGTGAAGTTAGGTATATATTTTGCCTTTATCAATGAAATGACAGACGTGTATACTATATTTACATTCTCTAGCTTAAGCGGTCAAATCAATTTCTTGCTAGGAATAATGTAATCAAAATTGAGACAGGTCGAGTTAACTCTAGAATACATGCAGTTTCTCTTATTTTGAGATGATATTTTTCATCTTCCGGATCCTTGGAAGTGCATCCGAGACAAAATGATGTCTTTTCTATGTTCATGTCCCAATTCACGGAAACCTTATAATATAAAGTATAATTATTGCATTACTATCACGAACTATTTATAAATCTTAATTTGGAAGACAATTTTACCTGTCTAGGTAAGCAAGACTCATATTTTACCCCTTGAGATAAATGTTCTATTTTTTATACAGATTTAAAAGATACAATCTTTTCCGTTGTCATAACAAGTAACGCCCCCTATAAATTTTCATTGATTTTACGTGCAACCTGATACTCTAAATGGCAAAACGTTCAAGAAACTATATATACACATATATTAGTAATATATCTATACTAATCTTTAAATGTTTCTTGGGCACTTTCTTTCTTTAAATATCATATCCAACTATCGCGGTCATCACGTGACTTTTACAATTCAGTTGTATATCATAATGGCCGATTGATTATCAATGAAAATGAACGGGCTACATAGATTAAACGATCATAACTTTTTTGTTACATTGTGTATTTTACCTTCCAACCCCGCGTTTTATAGTATTTTCATTTTTACAATTAAAAATGTTTTAAGTTTCAGTTCAGAAACATGATTTCTTGCTTCAAATTAAGTTTGAAAATGGAGGTGACATAACCACACAGCCTCCGTTGACTTCTTCGTTAAAACTCAATAAAATTGCAATGGGACCTTCTTATATGATCAATTTTCTCAACTTATTATTTGTTAATAATATCCTTCTAACCCCTAAAAAGATCGACAACACATTCATTTAAATGAAATCGAAACCCAAATCAGTTTAGGTAACAAACTTTTTGCTTCAAAATTTGATTGAAAAGTTTACATTTTGGCATTCGTTAACAATATTTTGAAAATGGCGGCCGATGTCGGAAGTGAACAAAGACACGACATGTATTCATTTATCAATTAATTAAAAAGTAATTTGTGAAATATTTATTAAAGTGTGTCTTATTGTTTTTAAAATTTCTTATTTCACCTTTAATTTAATATATTTATTAGAAACAGTCTCTCGCACTCAAAACAAAGATTTATATGCATCAACCATGCATTGTTTACATTGACCATGTTGACAGCGTAGGTCGACTTGTGAAAATATATATTGTAATATTTTTACGATGAAAATCAAAAAACTGTTGGATGCATGCGTTTTCAGTTTTTGTCTTACCTTAAAGCAGCATAGAATCAAACGTTTTATCTTTTTGATGAAGTGGATACATGCTTTTTGTTTTGATAAAATTTCGAAGTGACGAAAAAAAATGGCGACCAAACAATTTTCAAACGTAGACGATGTTCGACACTAATTTTGCCCATGCAAATAACACAATTTAATTTCACTGTTTATATTGCAATTAAATATGACACGTTATTGTCACTCTAATAATACCCAAGGACATAGCTTGATTAAGGAGATATTAAGTCATCAACGTGATCAAAGAAAACAAACACGGCACCTAATCACGATGTAAGATCGTGTAAGTTTTGACAAGACTTATGTAGATTAGTATGGTCCGATTCTTATAGAAATTATTTTATGGTATTATTTTATATTAATAAAAAAAAAACCTCGA